TTAATTGAATCATTTATGGACTAAGCCCAATTAGGCTAAATTGGACCCAAACATATTTAATATTATTTCTAATTAGTAAGGGTAAACACAATCATGTATCAATTTATAAAATTTACAATTCTGTATGAAATTATAAACATAAATGACAAAGATGTAAGTGCATTGACAAACATGCACAATAATCAAATCAGAGACTAATGGTAGTAAATTCGTGGATCAATTATGGATAACAGGTAAAAGATGGGGAGCGAAAGAAGAGAACAAGGAGCGAAAAGAACGAAAGGGAGGAAGGGGAGATAGACCTCAATATTTCTTCCAAATTGATCTAATTTAGGAAATTAGGAGGGATGGTGTACTAAAGAGAGAGGAATATAGATCTTTCATTCCCTTACCCTAAATGGCATGCATGATGGTTTAGGTCAAGTCGAAAAATCAAAGTCCATTGACTTCCCTACTAGTTGTTGTTGAAAGAGTAAGGAATAAAGAAACATTATACTACCAAGGAAAATATGTTAAAACAAAGGGGAAAAAGGAGAATGAAGAAGAACAACAAGGTAAAAGTAAGCATCCTTAATTGTAGCTAGCTAGCTTAGTGAGTGTAATGTGCTTCGCACTTATGAAGGTTGTTAACGTTCTTAATTAGCAACTGAATTCCTCTTTGTAAAAGCAATGCTATACATATATTACTAAAAGGTTTAGACTAATAGTTCATACTTCATACTAATAACATATAAAGTATATGTCATGTTACTTGTTTATAATGCTTTTAAGCTATAAACTCTTAAAATTTTCACACACATTTTTGGGTCTACTAAGTTATCAACTTGTAGCATTATGATTGTTTTTTTATTTTATTTATTTTATTTTTATTTTTATTTTTATTTTTTTCCTGTATTAACTAAATGTGGCCTAAGTAGCTAGGTCGCCACCCATATATAATCATGGGATAAGACAGAGAAGCTAGCTTAGGCAAAGGTGGGAGGCATGTCACTATCAATATAGCTTTTAATTTATCGACATACATAAGCCTAATTAAACACGTACTATTGTAACAAATTGAAAGGAAGGTTCAACAAAAGAATTTAATGATAACTCCAAAAACGAAGGAAACAAGTTAAACCAGATTGTGAGATCCCAATGCTAGAATGCAACTTCAATTGAACTTAACTTAAGCCTAGGACAGTAAACCCTATTCCTAACTTTACCTTAATCGCTGAGAAAATAGTTTGTCATATGCCTTATCGACGAGGGCATAAAATTGGCCTTGGTCCCTTGTCTCATTAGTTTCTATTCCCCATGGATCGGAACCTTTATTGGCTTATCGACGACATCAAAATGCTCCTCGAGTCCTTTGATTCTTCAATCTCAACATATGTAGCTAATAGGGCAATTGATTATGTTGCCTCAGTGATATATATATTCTACAGCTCTACGCTATAATGAAGATAGATACTATTCCTTTTCTAGATACGAATAGTAAGTTTTCTTATTTTGTTATCCTTTTTAGGTAAGCTTGAGCACGCACGATTTTGAAAGAAAATGTATGTATATCATTGTATATCTTACATTACAATTAAAAAAAGGTTAAAAATAAATACGCAACGAAAAAATAAAAATCACTACTTAATAAACTTCAAAACTATAGTATGCTGTTTGGAAAAAGAGTAAATACAATTCCATAATTTCACCGAGAAAAAAACAGCTTACAAAAATAAAAACAAAAACCATTTCCCCATTTTGTTTAATCCATAATTAGTTTGTGCCTATATATTTTTTTTATTTGGTGAAGAGTTTGTACCTATATATGTAATGTAGTTAATTAGTTTGCACCTACGTAGGTTGACATTATCTTTTTGGTTTCACCCACTAAATACAATTTAAAACACATTAACTTATAGTTATGATCATTATTATTATGTCATTGCTTACAGCATTATTATTTTACTTTTAATTAAAGACACTTCCTAAGACAAAATTTAAATTAAAGTGACGACGTTAACACCATCTGCATGAAGTGATGCCAATTATATTGCATCATGCCTTACGATATATTGCTCTCTAAACCAAATTTTATTTTTGACCAGTGCCACTTAAACATACAATATAATAATGTACACCAAAAACAGCTCCAATTTGTAGATATATAAAGCACTAACTAAAGTATAGGTAGGACGGTGATGAGTATGTTATAATGGTTGACACAAGTCAATTATCCCAAAAGTTTAATTTGCTTCATTGCTGGACTAATTGAATCTGAGTTGAACTAAACTACAGAGTAAATTTAATTTCATTAAATTAAAAGCTATTGTAATGACAAATTGAATATAGAGAGAAACATATATAATTGGATTGAGCTAAGGGTTTGTTCTCTTCCGATTAAAATCAGTTCAGTTCAGTTTCTGATTTTCTTCTCCCATAAACAATTCAGTTCACTTCATTTCAGTAAATGAGAAGTGAGAACAGGCCCTAAGCTGAACTGACATCTCGATAAGTAAATCCAAAAGAATACAGTCTTTTTACGAGTACAAACATGCATATCAACACAAATCTAAATACCCTGACACTAAATATATAGAAGTACTCCCAAGTATGAAGCATGCACCCAAATACGGACACGTATAACTCAAACGTACAATAGCCATAGCCACTAATAAACCGGCATGTGACATCATATCGCGGCATGCACATGTGTGCAGTTTACGCGACAAATAGTACAAGTACGAACACTTTGAAAAAGGAAAGAAGCTAAGAGATCAAAAGTGGACGAGGTAGTATAAGGTAGTAGTATGTAAGTGTACTAGGAATCAGCTTTTGCCGCTGAATTCAAAGCAAAATGCAGTAAGTAGTCTAAAGAGAGTTATGAAGAAACAACTAACAACAAATAAACTACTAGGTTGATGCTTCTCACATCAATTCATTAGCTTTAAACGTTAAAAAGATAGAATAGAAAAGACAGATAGTTGTTCGTGCATCAAATGTAATACCATTTAGGTAACAACAAAGGCACTATATGCGCCCACCATGTGTTACATTGCACCCTTTGCACGCCTTTACCTAGCTTATCTTAGCTAGTTTTACGTACAATAATTCACCGTAATTATTCTTCTGTGTAATTCTTACATTCTCATCTACAACCTTCGTTTTTTTTATTATTTGCAATATAGGAATATTTTGTCTTACAAATAATGTTTCTTTGATGCAAATGATAAAAAAAAAACAAATGTAGTGTTTTATTGCATGTTTTTCACTTGTACTTCTATGTTTTTGTTTCTTTTTATTGATTATTTTAATCTAAGGGTTTTATTGTAGTTTGTAATGCTTGTATATGTTCAATTAAGCAGACATAAATTAAGATTTTTTCTAGTGCATATGTAAGAAAGTAAATAGAATAGAGGTAAAACCTATTTTTGTTATCTAATTTGATAAATTGTGTTACATATATGTATGGGAATTGAGAATATACAACTAAGATTGATTTGAGAAAAAATATATTTAGTAAAAACTTGTAAGGATGAGAGTTTGGACCATTTACCCCATAAGAGATTCATCCCCAAGATCAAGAAGTTCAGTTAGAAAGCTGCTAAAGACCTAACAGGGCGTTTGGATTGTGCGAATGGGAGTTTGAGGATTAAAAGGTGGGAATGGGATTGAGAATTAATTGATGGGAATACATGAAAATATGCCAATACCTTGTTTGGATGATGGGTGGGAATATATAGAGAATAACTAACAATTTTACCAAAATACCCTTACTAAGATTATTATTTCATTCTTTTCATTAATGGCAAAAATGTCATTTTCCCCCCCTATTCCTATTCCCATTCCCATCCATTTATTACCTACCCTCCCTAGGTAATAAAATGGTGGGAATTCGCCCCTTAATAATCCCATTCCCAAACCCTTTTTTATTCTCATTCCCACCAAACAAACAAGGTTTTTTTTTCAATTGGGATTAAAATTCTCAATCCCGCCCTCAATTCCCACTTGCCAAACGCCCCCTAAAGCTTATAAAATGAAAAATATGTTTATATCTCATCAATATGGGACAAATTACACGTGGCACAGGAATTTCAACAATTTATGCTTTTTTTTTTTTAATTTTTTTTAACACGGTATTTACCGTAATTTTTTTTATTATTATTAATTTTTTTTAATCACTATGGCTATATACTGATTTAAACGCTTTGATTGATTAATAAAGCTTTGCTCAGTTTCCGTCAAAAAAAAAATAAAAATTGATAATGGTTTCTACTACAATGTCAGGAGTGTAATGCACCATCCCCAAATGTTTAAAGGCGCGACAATGATACCAATGTCCAATGAATAAAATGGTGTGGAGTGTATCTCTATGTTTCCTTAATGGAAAGAGCTATGGAATCTGATTGAAAAAACCTTATAGACTAAGACTGGTTGTCGAAGCGGTATAAAGCTCTTTTATAGGCTGTGTGGTTTATCTCTAATCCCTTGCCCAAAAGATGTACGAAACAATAACTAGACTTTGATTGAAACAATAACTAGACTTTGATTGAACTTTCTGAGAGCATGTTTAGTTAGTGTATATTTTGAATTGAAAACGGATTCAGCTGAACCATTCCGTTACCAAATGTTTAGTTAGAAGATTTGGTAACAATTACCTTTTACCTATGGAAAAATATTCCACCCGTATATTACCTCTCTAAAACCCAAGATAACAAATACTCTTACTCTTCTCAAACTCAAAGTGATTTCTTTCTATAGTTAAACCAAACAAATGAAAAAAAACAATTAAATGATTCTTATTCTACCCTCTTACAAAAGATTTATTTCATTTCCGTTTCCATTATTCTAACCAACCCCTCCTCCCCCCCCGGAATGCTTAATCAAATCACTCGAAGTCTCATAACTAAAGGAATGTTGTTAGCTAATACACACTAATTCATAAGTAAAATTCTGAAAGCTTAGGGTCCAAACTCCAAAGCGGCAAAAGCGCAACAAAAGTAAATCAACAACTAATCAGGAGCTTAAAATAAGAGAGTTTAGCTTAATTAAGATGAATCAGGAACTCGAGAGTTACTTTAAGGGTACATGACCAAATCTTTCAGATTATACAAATTTGCTGTGACAGCTAAATTTTGGATGTTAGTTTTAATCCAATCCACAAAAGTACAACGCCTGTTCTTATCAAACTAGAAAATAACTGACGGCTCAAATAATGGTCAGACAGACAATTATTCAAGCACATTATCCTAAACAAACATTTATCAGTACATTCTCACTGTGAACCAGAATCACAAGATATACTTTGTTCAGCATAGGCTGTAGCATATCGTTGCACTGTCGTTGAAGGACAGCTTTATATGTACAAAGATGCAGCAGACTTGATTAAGTTCAATATATATCATTATATACCCTCAAGGGTTAAGATACACTAACCAGCCGAAAAAGAAATAAAGTTCAAGGGGTTCGTGTGAACTATCAACTTCGGATAATAATACTCTTCCCTCTACTCATACTATTTGGGAAAGATATCAGTAAGTTATTATAAAGAAGAGCACTTGTTGGCTCACCTAAACTTCTGTAATACTAAAAGGCAAATTAGAGACCTGCCCATCAGAAAAGCCCAGGTCAAATAGAAATTGAACAAGAAATCAACAAATAGGAATGAGAAACTCAAAGGTCAAATAAGACTCAACGACAAAAAACAGAGCAGCCAACCACTAACTTCCACATGTATCACTCCATCTGAAGATTATTAAATTATAATCAGCGTCGAGGCTTTGACAGGCTGGGTCGATTGCAAAACATCCGGCCATTGGCTCTCACAAATATAGCTATAGCAATACTTAAGCTTGCCCACATAAGCGAAAAGAATAGGTGTCGCCACTCTAACCGAGCTGTTGATCAACATTGCAACAAAAGATGTTTTTTGTAAGCAATTATTCCTATTAAAAATATCTGAAATCCAAAAAATGCAGCACCAAACAAAAAAAAAAAAAAAACAAAAGAGCATTGACATAAAGAAGGTGCCTGAAGCAAAAATGCACTAGAATTATGCTAAAAATCATGCCAGATGGACACTACATCGACTTCACATTTAGATGACTGAATTTCTCAAAAAGATGTATTATTTTTGCAATGTATATCAATAAGTTGGTATCTAAACTTAGCAACTCCAAAAGAAGATTGCTAAGTTTAAATACTCAACTTTAAGCCTCATTTGACAAAAAGTGTGGGCACCTTGTCAATAATCTAATACTTCCTCCGTTCTATTAATATTGCAACAATGAACTTTTTGCACTATTCATCACTCTTGTTTGACCATATAATATGAGTTATACGTTAAGCAAAATATAGTCAAGTGGAATCTTGTTGGATTCGTCTCTTAAAATACTTTCACAATATCAACTTTTTATAATTTTTACTCTTATACAATTATAGATATTTAGCATATAAATATGTTTTGGGATGCGTAATTTCCTTCTTGTTGCAATATTAACAGAACGGAGGAAGTATATTTTGTAATTTATTTAAGTTTTACCTTTTTTTTATTTTTTAATCTTACATTCTTATCATTAAAAAAGAAATGGATTTGGTGGGCCATAAATTGAAAAATGACATTTGTATATTTTAGAGAGTCTCACCATTAGAAAATTAAATTTCACATGAGTTGCTAGATTGAGAAGTGGATATTGGTATCAACACTGGAGGTAAAAAACAACTCATTTAGTATTTCAATACTTAAACTTGAGTTGGAGATGGTATTATGCACTTTCCTATGCAACACTTCATCCTACCCTTTGTGGAGGCTGACATTGTCAGAAATGTTGGTCATTTTGTGAGAAAAAACCTTCTAACAAAACGCTTCTAACAAAATGGCGCCATGAGATTTAAAAGTAATTATTTTTTGTTAACCAGGACCTTTGCCTGAATTCTGGCCATTGATCACCACTTACTGGTGTTGACTATCACGTGCAAAACATGTGACTTCATCAAAATCCTCAACTTTCTCCCTTTCTTCCTCCCAACTACCCACCATCCCATCACAATCTTACTCAACATCATGTATAAAAATCAAATTTTGGTTTTTAAACCAAGATTAATTCGATTTTCTTAAGGGATTAAGGCTTTGATTGACTGACTAATTTCGATTTTCTTGTATAAAGGAATTAGAAAGGGGGATCAAGGAAGAGAAAAGGGGGTTAAGGGGCTGCGCTGTTGGCTAAGTCTGAGGGGGAGAGAGAATGAAGAACATACAGAGAGGGAGCACAGGTAGCAAAGGTAGAAAGAGTGGCTGAGGGCGATGCAAAGGGGGTTATGATGGACAGTGTGCTGGGTTTACAGAGGAGGAGGTCGAAAAAGGGAGCATGTGAGCATAGGTATAAGGTGTATGTGTGGGTCGACGATGTGGTTGCAACTTGTGCGATGGTTAGACAAGGGTGTTGTAGTGGTGAGAAGGTCGAGTTGTGGTGGAATGGTCTTCAAATGCTGGTAGACTGGTAGGAGGATGTAGGACATGGCTAAAAAAGAAAAGGCGGAAAAATTGAAGTCACATGCCCACTCACATAATGGTTTTGGTCAACAAAGAAAAAGAGGAAAGCGGCGTTCAATGGCCAAAATCCGAGCAAAGATCCAGATGAGAAAAAAAAAAAAAAAAACTTTTTTAGGCCCCAAAGTGAGACATTTTTTTAAGGTCCTTTCTCGCAAAATGGCCAATACAAAAGATCTGTTTTGATAAATTTTCCTACATACTATTCCATGGATTAATACTTTGCAGTAATGCAAAATAATTAAATAAGTATCCCATAATTTTGCTTCTAAACTTATACACACACTCCAAGCATTCCGTTAATACCATACTCACATTATGTTGATTCGATGAGTATTATTGAACATATATTGGAGAAAAAAAAATGTCATAGTGTGTTGATTCCAAAAAATTAGATTCCACTTGAAAATTGATTCAAAATACTTCATTCAAATATTTGTAATGAAAATCCACCATATCTAAATGCAATTGATGTCTTTAAAAAACTGAATTGTTAATTTCTAATTAGTTTCTTCACAAAATTTGTATGTTTGTGTCATAATTTATTAGACACATACTCCCTAGTTGGGTTTTTTTTTTTTTTTTTTTTTTTTCCCTGCACAAAACTCTATCTTGGAATTAATTTTGCCAATTATCCGTGATTTAAGATAAATGTAAATATGAAGACCAAGACTCCAAATTCTTGGATTCTTCCTTTGTTAGGTCAAAAGGTGAAACAACAAAGTACACCAAATATAATAACATTGGATAGGAGAGCAAACTTGTAATTTTTTGGTCTATATTATAAAATCTTATATAGGAAATGAACTAGAGGAAGAGACAGCATAAGAAAAGCCAGCAAACATAAAATAAAAAAAGAGTAATAGTATGAAACACACCTTGCTTCAGAGACATGAATGCGAAAATGATCCCAGCCAAGAACAAGGAAAAAGCTAAAGGAAGAGACTACAATAAGAAAAGTCATCAGATCATTTACACGTTTAATTGACTGAGAGAGAGAGAGAGAGAGAAGAAAAAAAAAGGCACGCGGGGTGAAAAGGTAGCCATTGATTCTAGCTATAAGATTTAGTAATCACTCACAGCAAAAGCCTCAAGGCCTCCTTTTTGAGGTTGTGCAGTCATATCTCGGCTCACAGAAGCAATGAAGTGTCCATGCACCATATCAATGGCATCCTGCAAACATGAGAGGAAAAATTCAAGAACAGACAAGGGATCCAATTTTAAGAAATCTTTTACAAGTGCATAAGAAATGAATAAGTATGCAACTGAACAACATGCGGTATGATGACATTAGTCAGTTACTTTTCAAATTTTTAAGGGGAATAATCAGTTTAATTGAAATGCATACTGAGCACTAGATTTTTTTTTTTTTTTTTAAAAAGGTCTTTTTTGAAGGTTTTTACGTAGTTTTTTTTTTTTTTTTTTTTTTTTGGGAGAAACAAAAAAAGCAGGAATAGTTTTCCTGAAGCTCATTTCCGTTCCACTCACCTATTGTAGATTCGTACACCAAGGGAGTATAAGAAAAAAGGTGGATAAAATAAGAGAGAGAGAGAGAGAAGGTAGTAAGCGGATGCATGTACAGAAAAAAGTTAGATTGTAGGTTAAGGGGTAAGATGTTAAAGTGTGTGCCAAAAAAAAAAAAAAATTGAAGTGGGAAAAGAAAAAAGAAACACCCCAAAACAGAAGGTGAGTAATACAAAAAGGAATGGAGGCAGTAATGCACGTTGATTGACATATTTGAAGAAGGCAATGAAGCGCTAAAGTACATAGTATGGATTACTACACATTTACTACCTCCGTTTCATATAATGTGCAACATTTACTAAAATGAATGCTACACATTTCTCTCTCTCTCTCTCTCTCTCTCTCTCTCTCTCTCTCTCTCTCTCTCTCTCTCTCTCTCTCTCTCTCACACACATAATATGAAATGTTAGTAGTTGTATCATTTACTAGTTTCCAACCAGCTTCAATTTCCATTTTGTCTAATCCTCAATAGTTGCCCAAATTATTTAAAAGCAACATGTTACCTTTCCTTATCAATCCAAACTCAAAATTAATACAACTCACTCCTTTGAAAGTAAAATTTTAAACGCAGGAGATATACAACAGACAAAAATAACAGATAACATATGTCGACAAAAAAGAAGCTCAGTGAGCATATACAAGAAAAGGTACTGAACCTGTTTTGTTCCATCACAAAAGTTGTTCAGATAATATCTAGAAAGTGCATTCCACCCATCATTAAGTATACCTTCAAACGTTCGTTTGCCATATCTGGAAATAACAAAGTTGCATTAAACCAATTTGTATGTTAAATAATTTTTTTTTTTTTGACACATTGTATGTTAAATATTAACTTCATCAGTACATTTCAAGATATAAAAAGTTATCTCCCATATAAACTAATGATAACATTTCATTCTTAAACAGACACAAAACCTGTGGTGCAAAACATAAAGCAAAATAACCAGTCAGTGTTATCAGATAGATAATTTGTATCAATTAGATGTCATATTAATCTATTGACAACCAGGACCAATGTTGAGAGTCTATCAACAAGGATCAATGTTGAAAGTTTATCACCACCCAAAGGCCAAAATCTCATCACCCAACAAACAAATATGAAAAATCTCCTCGTCAGCTTGACCTGATATTGTAAGTCAATGCAAAAATCAAACATAACATTTCTTAAGATATAACTGCCATTAAACAAGGAAAATTACAAGGAGCAAACCACTAAAATCAAGCAAAATAAATAAATAAACAACGCCAAAAGAATATCCTCAAAATAGTAAGGCTCGTTCTGAAACAATTAATGGTATAGCAACCTTCACCTTGTACAGATGAAGGTACCATTGTGCCTTGCCTGGACTAGGCAAAGGTACAAGTTAAGGAAAACAAACATAACATTTTTTAATACTAATAAGATAAGATTGCCATCAAACAAGGAAAATTACAAGGAGCAGTCCACCAAAAGTCCAAAATCAAGTGAAGCTCAAAGATAGTGGAGCTTGTTCTGAAACAATCAAAGGTTTAGCAACTTTGACCTAGTACAAATGAAGGTAACATAATGCCTTATCTGGGTTAGGTTAAAATGCAAGTTAAAATATCTTCCCTAAACTAGGCAACAACAAAATATAAGCCTTAACCCCAAATCATGGAGTAGGCTACATGAACCAAGATTTCATCTCCGACAGTTGAGCATCATGCTCTCTCTCTCTCTCTCAAACCCTATTTCTTCATAACATTCTTAACTCAAGTCATCTTATGTCTCCCTAGGCCTTTTATGAGACTCCTAATCCCATCTTTCTATGCTCCTTATCAGTGCTGAATTTGACCTTCATTTCATATGCCCAAACTAACATAACCGGTTCTTCCTTATTTTACTCCCTCCGTGTTTTTTTAAGTCTTACACTTCCTTTTTTGGCAAAAAGCTACATTAAAAAATTATATCTCTCTCCTCTCATGGTCCCCACCCAAACCTCACTATCTTTCTTTTATAATTTTTTAATACTCCAACTACCCCACTTAGCTCTTATTTTATTTAAGTCAATTAAATTGCCTAAAACTATGTGCCGGTCAAACTGTAACACTTAAAAAAACACGGAGGGAGTAATTCAATATCAACAACTCCAACTTTCCTACGCATATCTTCATTCCTAATTCTATCCATTAAGTGATTGTCAAACATCTATTATCTCCTCCATCTTTCAAACATAATCGTTCTTAGAAAGTCAAACACATAGAACATAAAATAACGCTGATCAAATAGCCATCCGGTAAATTTTCCCTTTAACACCAAGGGGTATGCTCTTGCCACATAATACCCTCATTGTAGCTATCCATTTGGTAGACTCCCTTCACCTAGGTCCACCCGGATTAATCCTTTAGTTCCATTCTTTTGTAGAATCGAGCCAAGAAAACTAACACTCACTTTTGGACAAATCCTTACCATCCACAACTACTAAATCCCCTTGACTCCCAAATAGTACTAAATCAATATTCCATATGCTCCAATTTATCCCGGCACTGTCTAAACCAGCAAGATTCTAAGTTCTAACATATATCTCCACTACTTCAATTAAACATTAATCTATGTATAGTCTCAAATCATACGCTATGGTGCCTCATCTTAGATAGACCATTTTACTTAAATTGCTACAAAGAGAAAAAAAAATTTGTTGCCGACCCTTCATGACATTGAATTGCAATCAAGAAATCCTTCATTACTTCACTGCAAGTCCTACCACTTGTATTCACGTCTCAATACAAATCCTTAATTAGGTCCATATATTTTTTAGGGTTACCTTTCTTGGTCGTCTCCACCAAAATACTTCTCTTGGAACCTTATCATAAGACATCAGAAGGACAATGAAAATCATAAGCAAATCCTATCTCGCATTGTAGTACTCATCATTTTCCTCTCATGAGTCATTTCTATAATTGAACACCTTGAAAAAAAACCATAGAACCCAGGTTTGGAGACTATACTCTATCATTCTCTTTCACAATCACATGGTGTAATCCATAAGCATTATCCCATGATTGCTAGAACAACCTTTGTTCTTAACTCGGTACCGAGGTGTTTTATCTCCAATCCTATGATCTAGTTTGTCCTCCAAATCATTTTTCCTTAACATATCTAAACCTAAATAGGAATATCATGTAGACCAATTGTTTTCTTTAGCCTCATTCTCTACCACCTCTTTCACAATTCTTCTCATATACTTCCAGCCAACTTCATGGTCGTCCATTGGACAACTCATTGAAGTATCCCATCCACTACGATGTATCCGGGTACACCAAAAATTTCCTCTTTGACTTTCATATAATTTCCTTAGCCACTCTAGAGAAACAATTCCAAGCAAAGTCGGGTTTCATCTCTAATTTCGGCTTCTTATACCACTCTATCATTAAAATCCTTGATATTATCTTCTTTCAAGTTCCACCATCTTATCCTAGGTTTATCTTAGTTTTTTCCTCTCCTTAACCCATCCTTCTTACAAACTTCCAAGACTTATAGACTATGTGGTGCAGCTACGCTCTGCAACCTATCTTCACTCCCTGTTACGAAAAAGACTATTTGAGGTCCATTGTTCCACTTCGAAGTCACCAAATCCAAGCCCTTTTTTTCTTAAACCATGCAATTTCTAGAAACAAATCATATGATTGCATGAAATGCAAAGTCACTCCTCCTTCATTCCTCCTTCCATACCCCAACCCTCTTTGGACCCTTTCATATCCACGACTTGTCCTTACATGCCCATTTAGATCCTCACCAATACAAACTTTTATAGAATTCTAATTGTGGGTTTCCTAGAACCATCTCACATCATAAACCTCCCAAAATTGGTGAAGTCTCCTCAACACGGCCAGAACATTTATAATATCTTTCCTACATGTTATCTAGGCAAAGGCAACTTTTTCCCCAAACATCTCCCCTTCCCCACTAAAAGAGGGTCTTTTAGAAAGGTAAATTTTTTTTTTATGGAGGGGAAGGCTTGTTTGTCAATTTCGTAAATACATGATTTGCAGTGGGCACCAAATTAGAAGACATTTATCCTCTCTTAATTGCAGATTGTTGCAATTACAGTAAAACTAGTAAATGTCAATCACCACATTCATCTTCTAATTAACAGCAGAAGACGTCCCAATCAGAAAGGAAAAAAAAAATTTAATTTAACTAGAGCATGGTCCATCAGATACAAGTTATACAACAGAATTGGGCAACACCAAAATCCTTTTTTAACACTGGTGGCAACAAAGTCAGATGTTTAATTCTTCATCCAAAGGAAGACATCTATTCAAAGATGTCTATACAAAAATGACAAAAGAAGATACACACTCATATGTAAATAGAGCACATATAAAAGCATCCACTTGCTTAAGGTGTCTGACTTTGCCAGCAAGTTGTATCAGAATGGGAAAGCAGATAAGTGTGATAGTCAATGCATCTAGTCTGAAAGTACCCTACCTCTAGAAAAAGGAAAATAGATTGGAGCAAAGAAACTCTATTTCAAGGGGTATAAAAAATGTATCAAACCGTGGATAGGTTGCTATAACAAGTTTCCAAGTGATAGCTTTTCAATATGAACTTTTGAATCAAACAACTACAGGCTTTGGAAAACATAAGTTACTCTTATTATAATAGTATTCTCTGTAAATAAATAAACTTTAACATCTTAAAAATTTTGAAAAATTTATTTGACTTTTACAGAGTAATGTGTTTTGACAAAGTTGCCACTATCTTATTCCAACATATTAAATTCTAATATCACTAGGTGCTAGCATAGTAACAAATATGACGGATGTATGTATACAAAAAAAAAAAAAAAAAAAAAAAAAAAAAAAAAAAAAAAGGCAAGTATGAAAGTTAAAGGGACATATAAACCCAGTGAAATACTCTCTATATACCGTTTTAAATTAACACTGCTATTTCAAAGATATCCCAACTTGAAAGTGAACCACTGCTTTTAGTAATTATTTATCACTTGCTTATTATCTCTAAGTTCCAAATCATCCACCCACTTTTTTCTCTATACATTTTCACACTCCTTTATCTATGTGCAAAAGATAGATGATACTTAAATACAGGATAGAGAAAGTAAGAGATATTCTTCCAATAAAAGAAGGAAGAGGAAAAAAAGAAATTAAAATTATATTTCCAAAATAAAAAGATCTCATAAGATGTCAACATTTACTAAGCAATAAGTTGACAGTCTGAAAAGTAACTGCAAGGAAACTTAAGGTTATCAGAGACAAGCCATATACAGAGCACTCGAAAGGACTCAGGTTAAATCATACAAATTCAAATGTTTTATTAATGAAGCAATGCTAAATGCAAACAAAAGGAAGATTTTGTAGAACCCAGAAAATTGATAAACTAGATGGATATGTAAAAGAAATTCTTTGTTTTCCATCATTTTGACATGCTAGACGCCTAGACGCTAGGATGCTCGGACTCGGGTACGGGTGTTGGACTCAAGTAAGGGTCGAAGTGTCAAACTCGGAATGTTATAAATTTAAGGATCCGCGGACATGAAACAAAGAATAGAAAGCAACAGTAAAAAAAAATCACGAGAGTCTCCCACCTACCCACCACATAATTACTATACTAAGTATTTCCCTCCCTAGTACCTAGACTACCTACCCCCACCACCCGTTAAAAAATAAATAAAAGAAAATAGAAATTGCACAGTTGAATGGTCGAAGAACCAGTTTCCCGTCGCCAGAATAGAAATCCGACAACCTCTTAGTGTCAGACTGCTCGCTTTTCACTTTCAATCAAAACCCCTAAGGTTGAGACTCTTGGTTCGGTGAATCTGCCCTTCTATTTTAGATTTAAATTTCATGACTGAAGAGTCCACTTTTTCACCCAAGGGTCTGACCTGAATTCCGTGTCCGCACCCGGGAGCATCATGTTGACACCCGTACGGCCGGGTGGTTGGTCGAGCATCCTAGTTGACATGTATAAAAAAAAATAAAGCTACACCTAACAAGTATAAATTACATTGCAATAATTCATGTCAAAGCGAAACCACTTCAAAGTGGGAGTCTTGGAGATAATACGGCAAACACCAAGGCCAATCAGACTCATAAATAAACCCTCAATTACTAAAAGTTCGACTCACTTCTACTTCATTCCTTTATTAGAAATCCCTTTTACTATCTATCCCTCCCACACACTATTTACACCTTTTTACATACTCTTCATACTTTATCAACTTTTTTCTTACACCCACGACCCACCCACCTTTATACCCCATCTCTCTTACTTATTTCACTTTTTTCCCCACTCACTTTTTCCATACATTCCTAAAAACAAGAGTCTACAATAAGCGAGTTGAACTTTCTGAAAAAGAAGAATCATTTTTATCAAAGTGGCATTTCCGGCTAAAAGAAATGCGCATAGGAACGTATACTCCACCATAAGCACAGAAATAAAATGTGTGTGTCCATAGCAAATAACAATACATACCTGACGTAATCCCCTTTCAGAGCAGGAGTGCCAGAATACTGGATGCTTACATTATCCCCATGATTTGCCCACACTATAAAGAGAGAGGAAAGAGGAAATTAATCAACACTGTTGCATTATACTATTAAAGTACTAATACAATACAACGATGATCACTTCAGCACCAAGAGCACCAATAAACCTTTAGTTGCAATTCCAACATTGTTGAATGTGCATAAGTGGGTAAATATCTTCAAGAAATAATACAATAATGAACATAAAAAATTCTAATGATCAAGCACCATTTTTAAAAAAAAAAAAAAAAATACAAACAATAGTACTCACATATTTTAAAATTCTCATCAAATTTAGGATGTGAGCTAATGGTCTCTTCAGCACCAAAAACACCAATTCGCCTTAGTTGCATTTCCAACATTTTTCGCCCTATCATGCTCTGTTACCACAATTCATGAAGGTACAGAATAACACCAATAGTGTTAGATCAACAAGAAATTTTAAACTAATCCAGACTATAGAAAATAAGATAACTGTCCCATATATATATAGTGTTAGATCAACAAGAAATTTTAAACTAATCTTAGATAACTGCAGTGAAGCAAAATAAAGAGATCAGATGAAGCTTGATCACCACAAACCAAAGGTGTCGCAAAGAATTGGGGAAAGAGATATCAAAGGAAAGATTTTTTTTAGCCAGAATTCCATGTAAAGGAGTCAATTAAAAGCATTAATGCAGTCTAATGAATTCTTATTCAATTATAGCACAAATAAATCGGAAACCATTCAACAAACCCACCTGTGTGACATTAGTGCGATCCAAGCAATCAATACAATTACTTCTCACAACACCACTTTGCTCCTCGATTTTTTCTCCTTTTTCATTCAGCAGGAGATATCTAAGACATAGATCAATTTACAGCAATAAATGAGTAGTCCTGCGGATGAAAATTAACAGCTAACAAACACATAGGATTTTCCAATACACAACTAAATAGTTTCCATCATCTAATAACCTTATAACTTTAACTATTTATTTGACAAACATGAAACAAAATTTAATCAAGACGTAAAAAAAGGATGATTTTGAAGACTAGAAATACCATAGATATCATCAATACAAAAAGGGTTGATATAAGGAGGCAAGACAATTCAAAATTAGTTTTATCAACTAAATCAAAACTTCAACTCCAGTTAGCTTGACTCGATATATTCTCAAGCCAACTCTAGGAACTTTTATAACTCATGAGAAACTTGCAAAATTTTATAAGCATAATAAATACTTCCTCTATGTAATTATATACTACATCGTGTGTTATATTTAATACTTCTTCTGTTTTTATTTAGTTGCAACACTTCTATTTTTTGCAGAATTCATCAAGTTACTTAACTGTTTTGGTGATTTATATATACTCTTGCAAACGTCACATTTTTGGATTCTCTAACTTTCAAGTTCTATTTGAATTCACATAATTGTCATTACAAAATAAAACTGAAAGTACTTCATTCTGAAATTCAGTGCATAAACTACCCCTTGCTTAAACAAAGACTAGAAATTAATAAGCATTGATATTAATACCTCTAGCTACAAGCCTACAACAAAGACAAGCAAAATTATTTTAATAATATCCTGAATCCCATCAAGATAAGCCCAAGAAGAGGGGGGGGGGGGGGGGGGGGGGGGAGGAGGGGAGTCATACCTATTTTTGTTCAAAAATTCTGAAATTTGATCATACAGACGTGAAAGTCTCTCAAAATGCATGTGTCCACATATCCTATGGAAATCAAAGTGCAAATATCTACAAAAAAAAAAAAAAAGAAAAAAAAAATTATATATTAGCAAAAAGAATAGCACAAAGAAGAGAGATTGCATTAAGGGGAAAAAGAACAGAATATCTCAAACACCTTATTTCCTCATTTGCAATCTGCTGCATTGCATTCCCATACATCTCACACAATTGGCCCTCACCACCAGTCTGACAAGAATAGCAGAAGAGCTAAGATTATCAACAACAAAAATTTAAATGCATTCTTACACCGTACTGACATAAAAAATCAAGGACTATACATAAGCTGTCTGCCTGTATGCATTTGCTCATGCATGACATCAAGAGTATATCTATACAAATTAAGATCCTATTCAAATTTCCGAATTTAATTTCGGAAAGTAGTCCCTCGTATTAATATGAAAATATTGATACTGTATTATTTTAAAATAATAAAAAAAAAAAAATCTTAATAATCCATTTTTAAGGGACTTATAACCAAGAAGACCTTGCTCCTTCTTTGTATTAAAATGGCAGGAGCTATATGGGTTTTCAGGTAACAAAAGAACAGCACAAAAGAGAGAGCATAAGGAGAAAAACTGAAAAACATAACAGCAATAAAATACTACGTAATTAAAACTTGTGGACTTGTATACAAAACGACATAAGCCCAGATGAGCACTCACTGCTATTCTCTCAATGATAACTAAGTTATTAAAAGAAACTCCCTCCGTTTCTATATGTTCTTATTTTGACTTTTTTGTGAGAGAATCACTGTCAAAGCAAGAAGATCATTTTGAAACAGAGGGAGTAAAAGGTTTCACAAGCAAGAAAGATACTTTTGACAGCTGGAATAAATCCACGCAAAGAATAACTTAAGAATGAAGCCAACGGGATCAAGCAGAAACATGTCAACTGAAGCCTAAGTTGCCATGATTCTGTAACTGACACATTTTCAATGATACTCTCCTTCCCATAATAATCTATGCCTCAACTTATGTTCACAGTCATTGATTGATGTACAATTCATCTACCATGATACCTACAAGCCTAATATAGATTTCCATATCCATAGGAGTTGTTTGCAAACCTTATTGACAAGATCAACAGCTAGCACAGCACCATATCGTCTTCTCAAGTCCAGAAAATGCCTTTCAGCAACTTGTGGCTGCACATGGCACAAGTCAAATACTTGATTAAATGAAAAGTACATTAAACAATCAAATTATAAAATTTATGTAAATCCCACCCCTCTGCTAAACAATTTTAAAAAATAAAAATAAAAAAAAATAAAAAACTCACTGCTTTCTCTGGATTCACGACTTCGAATTTTGGTTTATATTTCAGATTAACAACTTGCTCCCACTCGAATGGCATTGACCCACGAACCTGCAGACATTATGGATAGGGTATCACTCATAGCTACAATCTACATACAAAGCCCACAGGCCACAACAATAAGATTTTGTAGTAAGTAGCCACTGTCATCAGCCAACGAAGATCAGAATTTCAGATAAATCGGAGTTCAGCAAAAAGGAAGAGGTAAACAAGTTCATTTTCATAAATATGCATAATACTATCTTCAATGATTCTCTCCCATATATACCATGGATCTAACTACTGCATCATAATGTGGACCTATCCTTCATACCAATCAAAGAATAAACAACAGTCAACACCAATAATAATAGACTTACATCCATAAATTAACCAGCATTCCAGCACACATCACTAAATAAAATGGATAATAGTCCCAAATCCCAATATGACTTATCTTATATGCATAGTAAAAGAGATACATAAACCATTTATAAGTATTAATGTAAACAAATAAAAAAAATTATAAAAAAATAAAAAATGAACTTTCTATAACCAATTAGAATCTAGGGATCCTATTGCCTATCATTAAAGACTTAAACCTATCAAAAAAAAAATATATATTTAAAATCTCCCACAAAGCAAAATCAAAAAACGATTCTTTGCTCATCATTAAAATGCCACATTCCACCATAACCCCTGACAGTGTGTTACTCAATTACCTGCACAAAAGATGCTGTACAGCCATTTATTTGCACAATTTGCTCAGTTTCAACAAAATTTGCAACATATCCATCAGAATTAGCTCCTCTTCTCCACATTCGTGTACCTTACACAAAATTGGACTTCATAAATCATTAAAATGACTCAGTTAAAAAAGACTAGCCCTATTTCCTACCACTGAAAAGTGAAAGATGCACACATTCATGTTGCTTGTCTTCCTTTTAAGATGTAGAAAATTCTTAGGGAGAAACAGGTAACCAAAATAGGAGCCTATCTTTTTTTTATAATTAAAAAAAAAAAAAAAAAAAGAACAGGCATAGCCTACCAATCAAGAGGAAAACATGATACGTAACCATTTCAGTTTCTTGGAAAAGTAAGGATCAAAATATTAGACACCATAGTGTCATACAATTCATAAATTCTTCTTCAGACTTCTTCAAAGAAGTACCAAAACAATGAATTACAGAAGAGAAAGTTCATCATCCACATGAAGTAACATAACATGACTGGTTTTGTAACACACAAAAGATATTAGGTACTCGTATGTAGTAACTTGTAACGAAAATAGTTGCCAATTGGAATCCCCGTCCAGATCATCCTTCCCCCAACCACCCCCCCCCCCTCCTTGGCCAAAAAAAAACTATAAAGGTTAAGAAGAATGCTAGGTAAGCCTTGTAAATAAACAAGAAGCTTTTCCAGACAATCAAACTACATCTTGCACTCAAATTTGTGCCATGGCTCAATTCCAAAATATTCACAACATTTAGAGCATACAGAAAAGACTTACTTGTTCTATCAGAGGAAAAATTATACTCAGTGCGGTGAACTAACTCACGTAGCAAGCGAGGTAAAGAAACCTCAACTATCAAAATGGTAAAAAAGCAGAACACCAATGCTTTTTCCTTGGAATTAAACCAATATCTAGCATTTTTAGGCAGTGTATTAAAAGAGGGGGAAAAGGTATCATTTATGTCATGAGTTGTGTTTTCTTATTTTAAGTATTACTGTTCCAGTTTAGTTCAGTTGGCATTCTATTGCACATCAGTGGACAAGGGAAAACATCATTACTAGATGTCATAATTATTAGCCATAATTTGTGATGAGACTAATAAAAAGGTTAGTCATCATATTTCATTCAAGCAATTAAGAGTAGGTTTCCAAGTACATTGGCAACATAAAGCTTTCCAATACTCCTTGTGTTATGCAAACCTTGCTTCACACTTTTAAAGGTCTTGGGGTCAGTGCATAGAAGATATCCAAAGAGAAATTAAAGTGGACAGAATACAATTGGCACAAAAGGCTCCTGATGGAGAAGTGGAGCCAATAAAATAAAATAGCATACCAGTTCTCCTGGTACATCTGCGAGCAACCAACGTAACATCAATAGTATCTTTTCCTATAGCAGTTTGGAAATTATGGAAAGCTTGACACGGTTAAGGACTCCAGTCGACTAGGAAGATATTGATGAAAGTTGCATCCAAATCACAGAAAAACTAAATAAAAAGGATACTTCCTTGCAGAATGGGAAGCAAGTATGGATCAAGCTGCAAAAGAAAAAATGTTCTTTGTCACCAATCTCATTAATAGCAAACACCAAAGGCAAGAGTAATAGAAACGGCAGAAAGAATAATAATAATAATATACATTGACTATGATGCTGAGTCAATTCAAAAACCAACAACACAGATAAATAAGACGCAGAATAAACCTTGTTATCAATAAGAATTTCCATCATGTAGTTGTTCCAGCAATATCTTGGGTCTGCCTGCAACAATAATGAATAAGCATTGACAATTTTTCTACTTTTATAATCCATACGACTCCAAAAAAAAACCACTGGCAGTCCTTAAGCAGAAGTGGAAATGACAAATTAACTAAATTCTTGTGCATTGCTCTAATTATAATATTATATATAGCACCTAAAAGCCCCAAATGCCCCATCCCAAAAGGAGATAGCAAGCCTTGATGATGTAAGCTATGTGGCTTTCATAATATACACACATCTCATATTGCCATAAAAGGGAAAGAAAAAAGACACGTCCAATTGTTCAACAACAACAAAGCCTTAATCCCAAAATGATCTAAGGTCTGCTAACACAAATTGTCATAAGAAACCGTCTGAAAAGGAACAAGAGCATAACAAGATAATCAATTGAATAAAAGTTTGAAGCAAAAAAAGGTGTATAAAGTGAGAAACGGAAAGAGTATACAAATAAAATTTAAGAGAGTTTAAAATAGGGTAAGGGGATTAAAAAGGTTAGGAGATAAATGTGAGTAAGAAAAAGGTTTGAGAAAAAATTAGCAGATGAAATAAGTAATGTTTGCAAAACACATATTGAGTAAATAATAAAAGTAAATACAAAAAATATTGGAAAAATTATCCACAATAAGTCAAACTCAATATTGGAAGACCACCCAAAGTTCAACTTATGGCAGTTAATTTTTTACAAAAAATAAACAAGAGCATATATGTATATATATTATATCATGACACGTCTTCGACGTTAATTTTCTCCCTACACTCCTCCCTATCCAACTTCATATTTTCCTCGATCCCTAAAGCACTCATATCGCTATCAATCACCCTCTTCCACTTAGCCTTAAAGGTACATTGTTGATGCACAAAAAAATAGACATCAAACTCCATTTGAACCATTAAGAATTAATATGTTAGTACATATTGGTCAAGATCTTTATAAATTGGCAAAACCAACCCACGGTAACTTAATTACTCACTTATGAGTAACTCCTAACAATCCAATATAACTACCAACTCAATTGAATCCTTCTAAGCGACAATGACACTCTAAGTACCCATCTTGCTCCAAGGCTTAGTATGCAATCTTAAATTTCCAATGCAAAAGATCATGCCACCTGAAATATCCTACTTCTTTTCGCCTTAGAAAATGAAAACTCCCGGCATATAGAAGAAGCAAAATTCCTTTTGTGGTTTCAATTTTCAATAGCAAAGGCTACCTCAAAATTCTTTCCAAACACCAAGGACATGTTTGGCCAAAAATTTAAGATAATAACTTTAGATTCAAGAAAAATTGTAAAAGTAATTGTTATGTCGGCATAGTTGCAATAAAAATTAGTTGTTTTCCCCAAATGATATCATGATGTTTTGCAGCCAAGACGAGGGAAACCTAGGATACTTGCAATGACTACTATTGATCTTTAAAGTGATAGCAAGTTTTAGAAAAATTTTGAATAGAGCGTTCTGATACTGGAAGTTGGTGATCTTTTTTGCATGATTTTGCTAATTTATTCAAGTGAAAAATTATCTTTTAATGTCCTTTTTTTTAGGGGTTATCTTTTTATATCTAGTATTGACTACTATTAGGTTTTCAGTTTGGTGCTTTTTTAGACATAAATTATAGGCTTCAAAATATATTAAATGTTGGCAGTTGCTCCGCTTGAAATTTGGCTTTATTTTTCTTCAATGATATTAAACTAATAAGCAAACAAAATTGGATGGATAACTTATAAGATTATTTGAGCAACATCATATACACTTATCACACAGTACATACATTAATAAATAAATCATCAAAAATTGCAAGCTTTGAACACCATCTCCAATTTGGCATTGTAGCCTATAATATTTTAATGGAGGTAGAATTAAAACTTGAAGATACTAACTAGTTGCACAAGAATAATGATGATGATGCGTTCAAAATACTACATGTTCATTAGTTAATTTGACAAACTAAAAACAATTAAAAATCCATTGATGACAAAGAATAGGATTACCTGTCTCCAAAGAGGGAGTGTCTTTGCTTCATCGCCTAAGTCATGCAATCTCTGCATACTATAATAGACAAATATTAGTAATTCCTAAATCATTGCATACTTTACTATCAGTCCTTTCCCCCAACCCTCTGCCTTACGCAGTCACCTGCTGCAAAGCTGTGTAATAGGGGCTACAGTCAAAATACATAATTCCCTCATCAGTATCCCACAGCTCAACCCCTCCCCAAACAAAGGAATACCAATTGGCAAAAACCCAATCACTAAATCAATAGAATCAGGCATATTTTAATGCCAATAATAAACAGCTCTGAAGGTGCCTTATGAGTGAAAAAATAGACTAGGAAAAACCCAAAAAGGTAGCAATCATCTGTCAAAACAAAAGTTACAGCAAAATAATATCTTGTCAAGGCATCATCTTGCCAAAAATCCATAGAACTCTGATCCTTAACAACTGTAACCTGCTTTCAGCTTATAGAAGAGTACGGGAATATAAAGTGCACCTCCCCCCCCCCCTAAAAAAAAAAATAAAAAAATAAAATAAAATAAATAAATAAATAATAAAATCCTCAATATTGTTCAATGATGAACATAGAACCACTCATGAAAACCAATCAACCTAACAGCCACACCATATGCCTCCAGGGTCCATAAGTGCAAGCAGTTTCTATAACGCCAACATTGTTCTGAATATTGCTCAGTTATGAACGTAGACTAAAAAAAAAGTTAAATCAGGTCACCATTCGTCTAATTGTGTGGGATAGAGTAGGCAGACTTGGCACTAAGCTTCTGTTAGGTATAATACTCCCAAACACTTTCCACTATCGGTATTCTGAATCTGATATTCACTTAAAACTTTAAAAGACAACACTAAGTACTTTACTACTTTCACAAATGAAATTTATTTTGCTTCTTAAGTGGGTAGTTAAATCGGAAGATATGTAACATTATAAAGACAAGAATACTGAAATAACGAAAAGCAGAAAAGAAGGATAGGAACCAATAAGATACCTTAGTGTTAAATTGACATCATAAGAGAAATACAATCCCGGAGTCTTCTCTGCAGCATTTAACAGTGAGGAAAATTCTGTCTCCTTACTTTTCTGCCAAAGTTGGTCAGCCTAGAATGAGTTTCAATCACTTTTAATGGAAGAAGTATAAAAATAAAATAAATAAAAAACATTCTTAGTGATACCTGCTCTGCAGGGGAACTTTTAAGAGAATGGTCACAAGGCAATATCTTCATGGATGAAACTTTATAGATAGGATGGCCCAGGTAAGATCCAACACATTCACGTTCAGTTATCACAAATAAATATAGCCCTGCAATGTTGAATAAAAATGGGTTGTAGATCAACCAGATCAAAAGACATCAAGCATTAGGTGCAGCTTAAATCTGTTATGAGAGATTCCATGCATTTCTTCGGCATTGCATCAGAACTTAGACCAATAAATCAGACACGTGAGCAAAGTAAAATTGAATTAACAAGTCCACGTACAATTATTTTCCAATATTCACAAACCTACCAGAAGTTAATCCTTGCAAATTGGTAATTATATTTAGATCCTTGAAACTATGAAGGATTGAAAAGCTTATATACCATTAACGAACATGATTTCAAATTAATCAATCAATCAAGATTGGAGTGGTAAAGTGAGGTAGTTTGCAAAATAGTGGTCGATTGATCAACTATAAATCTAACATGCCGATAACTCTAGGCATGTGATAATGGTAAGGAAGAAATCAAAAACAAAGTACGGGATGGAAAAGGAATTGCAAAAGCCAATGCTATAAGAGTTTTAGCACAATGGTCAACACAAGATGTATAAAGATTGGAGTTCAATAATGTTGATAAAATAGCAAGCACAACATATTAATGCCAGCAACCAAGTAAATTAGCTTGCCTGCCAAGAGCTTTAACATGCCCATCACACCATAAATCGACTGAATTTTTGGTACGTGCACAGCGCTACATTGGGGGAGTTCATCTGAAAAATACATATACATATATATATATACAATTTCAATCAAAAAATCCAAAAATTAAAAAAAAAAAATGAACAATGATCCCATACACAAAACATCATTAAAAATGGTAAACTCTAAAACAAACAGACCAAGAAGCTTCATGGATCCGTCGACTCGGCTGACCGACAAAAAAGAGCCACCGGTGCCATCAGTGGGTTCAACAACATACTCATCTGGAAATTCCCAAAGCCTCATTCTACCATGTAGTTTGTGTCCAGCATCTACTTTCCCCATCATTGCCAATTATACCCCACTTCACTATCAATAACAACAACAATTTAAATCATTCAGATCCATGCTCACCAATTAAACATATTAACAGCAACAATCTAAAAAAAAAAAACCAAGCATAAAATAAAAATCAAAATAATTAACATAATAAACAGCCATAATAAAAAAAAAAAAAAAAAAAATTAGGCAAAATTACTCTGCTTTTCAATTCATTGATAAGAAAAAAAATTAAAAAAAAAATATGTGAAGATGCATCTAAGTTAGAAATTGTTACGAAGGTGTATATAAAATCGAAAATTGAAGTAAAATTATAATACATGAAAATTAAAGGAGAAGAAGAAGATGAAGATGATGAGAGAAACGTACCGGAGAAGAAAGGTGGTGATCGGAGATTAAAGAGAGAAAATAAATAAAACCGGGAATTGATTAAGAATGAGTGAATGACAGAAATGTCGTGCACGTTGAGGAAATTGTGTCGTCAAAGGTTCCTGATTTTTGAATTTTAGTAAAAATTGTTCTGAGTTACGAGAGTTAAGGAGATTCAATTGAATTACATCCTCCTTCAATTAGCCCAAAATTAGTTTTTTTTTTTTTTTTTTTTTTTTTTGGGTCAAATTAATCAAATTACAAGTGTCTTATAGTTGTTTGCCTCTAAATAGAAGTACGATTAGATTTTTGTTATTTTCTAGTTGACTGGACCCATGAATAAATTTGTAGGTTATGATATATTCAGTTTCAAGAGCATAAACAAAATTCATATCGAGTAGGTTTAGACATTTAAGTAACTTCGTATTGTTTCATGATTTTATCCTAAAAACGATAAGTTATGGTCAGGGCCGGCCCGGAGGGGTAGGCCTCGAGTGCGACCGCCTAGGGCCCATGCCAGAAAGGGGCCCAAAAATTCAAAAAAAATCAATTTGCATAGCCGTAGAATTTAAACTGTCTAAATTGTAATTTTTACTCGTTAAAAAAAAACTACTTTTAAAAAAGATAATAAATGCATTTAGTTAGCAATTAATATTAAATTTGTCAATTAGGTGGAGATAATTATGCAATATAACCTCTTCTTCTTCTTCTAATCTTCCGATTTTATGAGTATCTGTTTCAAAATATTAATCATTTCAATTACACCGTTTCATATTTATTCAATTACCGAAATATTATGCAAAGTTATTACTCCAGTATTGTGTATGGAGACTTATTATTCAAATAATTTAAGTTATTTTCATTGTCTTATATTTAAAGCTATTGTGTGTAAAAAAAAATTGTTTACGTAAGGGGCCCTTTTCTTACATTATGCCTAGGGCCCATAAATTTCTAGGAACGGGGCTGGTTATGGTTATTATTTTGTTGCCTCCAACTTACATATATAGTTCATACTAGGTTAATTCTCATGTCATGCACGGTAATTTTCAATAACCATTATTAAACTATCATTATTATAATTGGTTTTTATAAACATAAAAAAAATAATAATATAATTGACAAATTTTGATCAAATTACTGAATTATAAAAGATAGGAAAAATTGATAAAAATAATCCTAACTTTCGTCGGTTCACTCAAGATAATCCCAACTTTGGGTTATTTTTAAATAATCCGAACTTTAGGGGTTCTTCGCTCAAAATGGTCCGATGTGACCGGTAACCTATTAAAGAGGTATTTGTTTTTTTGTTTTTTTTGTGCTTAAATGACATGTGTTACTACATGAATGGCTGAAAATAATTAAAAAAATAATAAAAAAAAATAAACAAAACAAAAAAAAAACACCCAGCCCCAACCCCACGCTGATACCACCACCACCCACGTTTGGTACACCGGCGTCCCTCCTCCCACCGGCCTAGACCCCCTCCCCTACCGCCGACACTCCTCCCTTCTCCCACTGCCCAGACCCCTTCCCCTACCGCCAGCATCCCGACGCCCCTTCCCTCAAAACCCCCACCGTGAAACCACCTAGACTTAACCCGAAACCCAAATAAAAAAAAGCTCAGCCCACTGCACAAACCCCAAGCGCTCCCCCACCCTCGGAACCCTAACACTAGGGTTTTGAGGGTGGGGGAGCGGCGATTTAGGGATTACAGTGGTTTTGGGTGTTTTTAGGGTGATTTAGGGGGAAGGAGGAGAGAAGTGTCGACGCCAGCGTGAGGGACGGATGGTTTGGGTACTGTCGCCGGCGTGAGGTAGGGTCTGCGCTAGTAGTTTGGGGCTCCGGAGGTGTGACGGGCTAGGGAGAGGGTGGTGGTAAGGTGGTCGGTGGCTTGGTTGATTTTTTAATTTGTTTTTTTGAATTTTTTCTTTTTTTTATGGAAAAATTGCTCCCATTAATCTGAACTTTGCCTCGTCCGCCGAAAATAATCCCAACTTTCGTTTATTATCTATTGCACCGAACTTTAGGGGGTATTAATTTCTATTGCACCCAAATGACCTACAACCGGTAAATCAAGTAAACATTTCTGATTTTTTTTTGCACACGTGTCAACATGTAATTGGTTGAAAAAAATAGGAAAAAAAATTAAAAACATAATTTAAAAAAAAACCCCAACAGCCACCCTTAGCTTCTCCACCAGCCACCAGCACCACCATCACCAGCCTTCCTCTCTCCCTATCCCACGGTGTCGGCCGCACCCACATCCCCTCCCTCGATGCCGGCGCCGACCCCCTCTCCCGCGTATCGTCCCCTCCCTCGCTCTTCCTGATACTTGCTTGAACCAACAACCACCCTCCCCGAAACCCTATCTCTCCCGCAAAAACCACCTAAAACCCATCCCCCACCCTCGAAAACCCTAATCGAACCTCTCTAGCCATCGCTAGGGGTTCAGTCAGGGTTTTTCGAGGGTGGGGATAGATTTTCAGTGGTTTTGCGGTGGAAGGAGATTTTCTGGGGGTGGGTGAAGGGAAGGGGTTTTCGTGGGTGGGGGAGGGGATTTCGGGGGTGGGGGAAGGGAAGGGGAGGGGAAAAGCTGGGCGGTGGTTTCCGGCAGCAGGGGAGGGAGTTGAGGAGGGGATTTCGGGGGTGGGGGAGGGGTTTTCGGGGGTGGGGGAAGGGAAGGGGTGGGTTTCGAGGGAGAGGGAAAGCTGGGCGGTGGTTTCCGGCAGCAGGGGAGGGGTTTTTCGGGGTTGGGGGTGATTTCCCGGCGGGGTGGGGGTTGAGGTGTGGTGGCAGCCGCTGGGTATGGGTGGTTTGTGGGGATTTTGTTTTTTATATTTTTTTTGTTTTTTCTAAAAAAAAAAAATTTAAGCCAATCATACGCTGACACGTGGCTAGGTAACCTGCTACATCAGGTTAGATGACCTGTTGGGTGCAACGAAAATTAATACCCCCCCAAAGTTCGGTGCAATAGATAATAAACGAAAGTTGGGATTATTTTCGGCAGACGAGGCAAAGTTCAGATTAATGGGAGCAATTTTTCCTTTTTTTTTAGCTTTTTTTATTTTTATTTTTCAACTAACCATGTGATGAATGTCACATTAACCTGATATAACAGGTTGGGTAACCAGTTGGGATCATTTTGAGTGAGTGACAATCAAAGATCGGATTATTTAAAAATAATCTAAAGTTGGGATTATTTTGAGCGAACCGGTGAAAGTTGGGATTATTTTTATCAATTTTTCCTAAAAGATATGTTAAATGTAAAATGATGTAAAAAATAATCAAAATTATGTTAAGAAAGTTTTTTTTATAGCTATATAAAAATTTATGTTAAAGATATGTCCAATTATTTTATTTTTAGTAATTATATTGTATAATATTAGGGAATTATTTTTGTATAAATTTTATTTCTTTAATATAATTTCAAAAAAAAAGCACTAAGGACACACCTGGTGATGACACGTGTCATTGCTGGTGTGTCTTTTAGTATATATATATAGTTATTATTGATTGATTATTACTACATAGAGAAAGTTCATAGTTGGTAAATTCAGATTTAGGTAAGGCGACTTAATACTTGTACATTCACGTATTATAGTCGGGTTCAGGTCGGGTCAAATCAAGTTCAGTTTATGTTAGGTCAATCTAACCTTCAGTTTAGGTTTAGGTCAGGTCAATTTCGATTAGGTTCATTCATGTAACAGCCCCGATCTACTAACTAAAGATAAACAATAATTAAAAGAAAATAAACAACCTTTGAAAAAAATTTAGAAATCATAAACCTAAATCAGAGGTGTTACAGCCACACTTGAAAACATATCAAGTGTTAAGGCTTATAAAACCCAAGTGTACAACTCTATAAATCTAAGTGGGTTATTTATACAACAAACTTATTAAAAACACTGATCAAAACACTTGATCTCATTTCGCTACGATCACTTGATCAAATGCTTAAATAATCTTGACTGCTCAACATTAAGGATAAATTCTAAAATAGATGTAATACTCCGTATTTTTATTACAAGTATATTTTTATATATATAGATTATTTGTTTATTCATTAAAATGATTCACTTCATTTTAAAAAGAAATTAATTATTTAAATAAAATATAAGTGTGTATAAATTAAATGAATCATGAATTGAGGCAACAAAAAAATTTTAATTGGGTCAATCTTATTTAAATGAGTGGACAAACTTATTAAGAAGTTGAGGAAACTTAAAGGCCCAATATGTTGGCCCCAAATGAAAAGTTGAGGGGAAGTAGGATTTAGAAAATTACTAGGTTAGATAGTTATAGATTATTAATAGATAAATATTATAATCATAAATTAGTCGAGGAATAATAAAAGTATGTGATATGTTAAATTTTAATTGTAGCTTCTAATACACAATTAAAATAAAGTAGGCAAAAAAATCCAAGCAATATTTTTTTTTGTTGTAAAAAAGATCACAAAATATTTTTAAGAATATAATTTTTGGTTTATAGTTGTCCAATTTTCTGTTTTAGAAAAATTATTTGTGAAATCTTTTTATTTTAAATATACTACAATAATATGGAATATGTACCGTTAAAAAATGAAATATGTACAACAAAAATATTATTTTTGAAATTGATTTGTTTCCCTAATTAATAGATTTTTTATATAAAAAATAATTAATAATTAAGGACACACCAGTGAATGACACGTGTCATTGCTGGTGTGTTTTTTAGTATATAGTATTGATTGATGAGTTTTTGTTTTAAAAGGGGAATATAAATACCTTATAAGCTCAAGATTTTTCCCGTCAAGATTCATGATTATCATGTTTTATAAAAGTTTCAAGGAAAAATTGCTCCCATTAATCCCAACTTTGCCTCGTCCACCAATAATAATCTCTACTTTGGATTATTCACCATCACTCCCAACTTTAGGGAGGATTAATTTCTATTGCACCCAAATGACTTGGAACCGGTTGAGAGGTAAATTTTGCTGACTTGTGATTAATTGCACACGTGTCACATTATGATAGGTTAAAATTAAAAATAAAAATAAAAATAAAAAACCCACCGCCACGCACTTCCACCACCACCACCACCACCACCTCCCTCAGCCCCAACCACCTAAGGGTTGAAACAGAGGAGGAAGGGGAGAAAATGGAGGGAGCTAGGAAGGGGGCAAATCGGAGGGAGGAAGGGAGGAAAGGGCGAATTGAAGGGAGGAAGGGAGGAAAGGGGTGAATCAGAGGAAGGAAGGGGGCAATCGGAGGGGGAAGGGAGCAGAAACGACCACCCCCCTACCGGAAACAGCACGCAGGGGCCGCTTTCCCCCCTATTGCCGGAAACAGCACGTAGGGGCTGCCCTACTGCC